ATGTTGTGCCATGCGCTTGTGAAAAACTAAAAATGTTTTCATCAGATTTCTGTGTAGCTACTTTGCATAATAGTAGTAAAAATCTAAAAAGGATGGTGTTATCCTAAAACATTTAGTTTTAGCAGGGGTTTGCTGCATTTATTTTCTGTATTTTGCAGAAATTATAAAATTACTATTTTTCACGATCTGAGGGTGAAGTAACCTTAACCTTCTCCCCGAGCTGTTGGATTAATGGTAATAGAAATATTTAGCTTTAAAATAATAATAATAATAATAATATTGGATTGGATTTATATAGCGCTTTTCAAGGCACCCAAAGCGCTTTACAATGCCACTATTCATTCACTCTCGCATTCACACACTGGTGGAGGCAAGCTAATATTAAAAAATATTATAAAACTGATACAATTCATAAACTATTCATATTTTCCACAGAAAGGTCCCGTGATGATTAAGCCCTCAAGCTGAAAAGTACATTTGCAAATCAGTGCCATGTTAAGCAAAACAAATAAAACAGGAATAAAGAAATTGCCAAGCCATAATATTCTTTTTAAAAAATATATATATTTACTGAGATTAAATTAACAAAAAGATCCCAACCGAACCAAAAAAACCCAAAACAATCCTTTGCAGGATTGTTATAAGTTTGCAAGAAAAAAACGTACCAACCAAGGAAAGAATGTCTTTCTCAATACTCAGGACATTAATCTAAAAAAATATATTCATTTTTTAAAAATTACTCCCATTGGCCAGCTTTATAAGACTATTAAAAATGTTTTTTGCACAGAAGCTCACAGAAAACTAATATTTTACTGTGCTCTCATGTTCCAGCGCATAAATTCGTTGGTTGGCCGGCTCCAAAAGATAATAAATCCCCATATGTTGTAAATCCAACTACAGAGCCTTAAAAATAATTTTTACAGCCAGACACAAAAGACAAAAAAAACCCTAATCCATATGGATAGCATCCTAGCTAAAGTTTGGGTTTGTGACTGCTTTGGGAAGTGTACTAACAGATTAAGGCATTAGCATCTTTTGGTGCATTTCTAATGGAATTATTTGACTGTACATTTTATTGATGCAGCTTGTTAACCAAGGTTGTTAGCATTACCAGTTAACTTTGTCCACCACTTTCTCCACAAAACCAACATGGCAGAGATCTTCCACTACCTCAATTCCACTTACCTTGCCGTGTAGTGTTGCAGCACCAGCTTCTGTCCTGCGCTTGTGCATCGATGCAATCATAGTCCACTGGTTGGTGTCAGGCTCATATCGTTCTGCAGTTTTCAGTTTCTTTTGTTGTCGGCACCCTCCCATAGCATATATGCAGCCATTCAGTGTGACCACACTGAGAAAGCCCCGCTCTTCATGCATCGACCCCACCTCTGTCCAGGTTCGGCTGGTGAGGCTGAACCTTCTCACGTGACTTGAATAGCTTATGAAATCAAAACCTCCGATGCAATAGACACATCCATTGAGGTAAGCACAACCGTAGAATCCCAGAGAAGCATTGTGTCTCCAGCTCAGCGGCACCCAGTGGTCAGCTCGGACATTGTACAACTCAATCTTGTTACTTGGGAAATGACTCACCCATCCACCAACGGCCAATAAGACTTCAGACGGCAGGCGTGTTTGGGTCAGAGGTCTCTCCATATTGGACTCATTTAGCATCTTTACGGCAGTGGTTACCATATTCATGCATGCCGGACTACTAATCACCAGATCATTTCTGCTCACAGTGTCAACCAAGTACTCAGTGGGCATTAATAGTAGGCGGACCTGGATGAAAACAAGAATCATAAGGGAAAAAGGCAAGAAATACAACATTAGACTGTATATAAGAGTTGGACGTAGCCACCATGCTACCACCCATTAGTGAAGTATAGCACTATCCCTATAATCAAAATGTCATGGAATCACCCAGATAGCTATGGTAGCTCCTGGCATCGCCTCCAATCAGCTGTGGCATTGCCCTTAAAGACCCTAACATTACCTGTAAAGACCCACAGCATCACCTGCCAAACAGCAATGGCAGGTCATGGCATTACCTCCAAACAAGCAGTGGTGCCACAGTCAAGTGTCAATGCCATTATCTGAGCACTGAGTAACCTCCTGCTGTAGAAACAGGTCCCACAATGGGGGTGTGTCCTGTTGTAAATGCCTAAGGACCAGTCAGTAAGTTCTGGCAGGACATGATGGGCATAGTCAACTTTTCTGTCAGAAAAGCTAAAGTGCAGTTCAGACACATTATCAATAATGCACTTCTGAAACTACAAAACAACGGCCAGTTTTATCTGGACGCAAGTGTAAATAATACTTTTACAATTTATTAAGGACTAAATGATGAGCACCTTCTGATGCACACTCCCAAGTGAATTAGAAACAGCCCCCCACCCCCCAATGTGATTAAGAATGAAGAAGAATGATTCCCCTACATTAACTCTATTACCAAGCCTTAAGTTTGAGTAATTCTGCCATTGCAATTTTAGCTTTTTACACGTCAGCCGTAAAAGGCTGATGGGCGAGCAGGTGGGCGGCCTGGACACCCAACTCTGTAAACACAATAGTGTACAATCAAACTTCTTTTTTTGCATCAGGCATCAAGCTTATGTTTTATTTTTTATTCCTAATTCAAATGGCTACAGCGGAAGTTACTTTCTATACTTTCAGACTGTACCATTCATTCAACAGCCCCTCACTGAGTAATAAACAAAATAAATGCACTTAGAGGAGCATTTAAATTGATATCCCATTTTCAGTTACCTTCTTGAGCAGTGCGGGCATGTCACACCCACGTTCCACAGGGGAATAGTTGATCCATCTGAGAATGGCCTCAAACACAGTGCTCTCCTGCTTCACATTGAGCTCATCCTTCTCGATAAGATCTGACAGTTGCTGCACAGAGAGCTGCAGGAACTCCAAGGAGAGTGCACCAACCTCTTCAAAGTGATGGAGGATGTAGAGATAGGCCTTTCCCCTGAGGTCAGGACAGTTGTGTAAGTGTGCCAGATTGCAGATGCTGACGCAGTTATTTACACAGAGCTTCCTCTCCAGGAAGTCGCAGCAGGCTTGAATGACGCCAGTCACGATAAAGTGGTCTGCTTCCACCAACAGCTCCAGTACATTGTCCTCCGTCACCACAACAGATTGGGTATAGGCATATTCCAAAATGAGGCTCATTGCTTTTGGAGACACAGTGGGGAAGTTGTAGGCCTCGTTTGATGGTAGTGGTTTGTAGCAGAAGAGATCCCTGTGCAGATTCAGATCAGCATTTTCACATTGTCTCTCTGTCATGCAACTTAAAAAGTACCTGATGTCATGCAGCTCATAGTTAAATAGCATTTGTAGAATTTTTCAGCTGCATGCTTACTTCAGCAAGCTGTGATCAAAGAGATATGAAATTAAAGTAACAAAAATCTAAAATGACTTGATTTCAAATGGGCAGTCTCCTATTTAAGGTAATCTATTCAGACATGTGCAGAAAAACATTCAGCATTGCTGCTATGTTTAGACAGACAGAAAGATATAGAGTTGTCTAGGCATTGTAGCAAATATTCCTATACAGTAACAGGGTTAGGGCGACAGGGGACAGCAGGCATAAAATAGCTGCAAATATAATAACTGAATTTCACATTACCAAATTTACTGACTAGACAGAATTGGAAAGAGCGGACATGTCCCACTGCAACAGAAATGGCATATCATTGGCCACCTCTCAGTCTGGCCCTAAATTGATTACCTGCCTATTTTGACATACAATTTGAAATATAATGAGAAAGCCAGTTTATAGCATCTGTAATATTTCAAACTACCTCTTAAAGGCTCATTGTGGAGTCAAACACAAAGCTATACTATATATGTATCCCAACAAACCTCCCAAAATAAATAACTAAATAAAAATACAGGACTGATTTTTTTCCCCCTAAAAATTGCTCCAGAACATTTCTAGTGATCAAAAAGTACAGTGTAACATTGAAACCTCCCAATACCTGCTGCACTGTGTTACATGAAAGCTTTGAAGTAGGATAAATGCAGAACCAAACCACAGCCAAACAACACAGGCCTGCTCACCTGAAGTATGCACTGCAGTTGCAGAGGATGATCCTGTGAATTTTAAACTCAACATCTCCAGCTCGGATCACAGAGTCACACAACTGTCCCTCCAGAAAAAGCTCACTAAAGACAGTACTACAGGTGCTGTTCATTATTCAGATGTTACTCAAGATGTTTAAACTTCTAAAAAATCTCCTGTTTAGTGTTTTCCTTTAGAGATCTGCCTAAACTTTGTAAGGTACTTTGTCTAAATTACTGATTACGTTAACGTATGCTGCCTGGAAAGTGTCACTAGTCTGTTTATATTTGAAAATCATAGCGCTTCATTCGGTTCTTCCGTTAATTAATCGAGGGACGGATTACAAATAAACCAAATTGTATTACAAAATCACAATTTCTACCTTAGTAAATTCAATTGTATGTATGACATTTTGCAAGCTTTGTATTTTTAACGAACGTACATAAATATATTTTGCCAAATAAAATATTTATAAAAATATCAGCGACAAAAACAGATATTAAATAAATGTAGAATTTTTATATATATATTTTAACTGAAATGACCATAACATTGAAAAAATAAGTAAATATTTGCGTAAATTCAAAGCAAATTTCTTTATGTATTTTTGCGTTCATGTGGAATGGCTGCTCCGGGACTCCGTAGAGAAGCTGGTGGTTTGTTGACATTTTTCTCCATCAGCTGAGTGGCCAGAAGTTAGCCGTCGAGTTTCCGAGCAGCTCAGAACAAATCAACACCTCAGCTTTATTTTTACCCGCTGACGCTGTCATTCAGCCGTCACAAACCACAAACGCTTCACTCATGTTTTACACAACCAGCGGCGCTACACAGAAAACCAAGGGTTACTGCGACCGTTAGCTACATATAGCTAGTGTTCGGCTGCAGCTAGCCTGGCTAAGGAAAAGGCTAGCGACGTTAGCCGATGTGAAGCGAAGACATGGAGGGGATACTTTACAAATGGACGAACTACATGACAGGTGAGTCTTTCTAAAAACTGATTTGAACTAGCCGTGTTAGTATTGAATAATGTCAGCCAATTTTACATATGTTACAAGTTTCTAAATTAGCAGGTTAGCTAACAAGCTAATATTAAATTAAAACTGTACATGTTACTGTGCGGCTGCTGTTTTTGGTTGTAAATTAATGCAATGTTGGATTTATTTAGTCAGAATTATGTTGCTAATCGGCGTCATGCCAATACCAAGGTACTGCTGCAAAAACTTAGTTAAAGCATTAAAAGTCATGAAATACCTTTTCGACATGGTAAAATGTAAGACATCACTGGATTGTAAATGCTGAGCTATCAAAGTATTCCAAGTAATTAGACGTGGAGAAACAGTAAATACATTTTTCTAAGTTTTGGCATTTATTATGTTCACCGTTTTACCTACACATGGGTCTTTAGCGCTTAATTAAATTAAAGCATTGAAGAATTTAAAAGTCAGTTTGTTATGACCTTTAGAGACAGTTGGAAGCAGAGTTATTCAATCTCCACTGCATGCCAGGTTTACTGGCAAAAGTCATAATAATTCAGCAATTTACAATAGCCACATTACACAAATTACAAGTATGTTTTGAACATCTTCATTAAACTAAAGTTGTTGTTGGTGATAGTGGTAGTGGTGGTGTATGTTTGCAAATCAAACAAAACAAGGTCATTTTGGTGAATGCTGCTGTCTTACAATTATTCACCTTCTTCTTGGAAAGTGCATTTAGTTCTTTGCAGTGCACCAACATGCTTTCAAGGCATCTCAGCCGTTCCTCAGATCCAAAGGCCTCAAGTTAGATTATATGAAACTCAGCTTTGGTAGATTTCATATTTGCTGGAGCCAGTAGTTTTCCCTGTTGTCATGGTTGCACAAACTGGGCTGTGCAGGCTTGACAGAAAGGTAGATGCATACAAATACCAATAAAAAGCATTATATTTGTCAAATCAAATGACAAAGTAGGTAGGTGAGCTAATTGCTGTGTATAGCTGCTATGGTCAGTGGTGCGAGTGAATTGATGACTAAAGTGCTTGTGTATGGAATCTTGTTTAGTGCAAGAAACCAAAATCCAAAGGAGGTTTCTCAGGGAAGAGAACTACACATCAACTAAGCTCTAAGGGCTTTAATAGAGGACTTGCACAGAAGGCCCAGATGTTGCCGGTGTTGCTCAATGGAAATAAACACACACATAGACTGAAAAGAAGGTGGGGTAGAGTGGGTCTTCACAGAGTAAATAAAAATTAAATACATTTGTGTGTCTAAACCTAAGAAGGAAATATCACACCAAGGATGTCAGAAATGGAGCTCCCAGTTTAGAGCAAAGGAACTGTAAATGTAGTAAATGTTTATCACTGTAAACTCTAAAATGTAATAGAGTAGAGTTTAAAGTAGCAAATGAGCTACTTAAATACAGGACTTGAGTGAATGTATTTATAGCATTAACTTAAATGTTGCTCAGAGGAGAACTGACAGCCACACACAACCACTCAGGGACGTATCTTCTGATGTAAACCAGCTGCATGGTAACAGGACCTGAAGTGGTGTTTGACCTTAATGATGCCAGCATAACATGTCTATTAATAATAGTGGCAGAGGACAAACTATACACTGCTTGTGACCTCAAACACTCCCACTGTCATCTGCTTTTTGTCAGCTGGAAACTGAATGTCATCAGAACAATCTCCTCTGAAGGGACATTTCTAAAGAGACTTAAATTTCCCTTTTCACTTCATTATATGATCCCTTGCCAAAAACAGTTATAGTCAGAGTTAGAGTTCAGACAGTTGAAGCAGGAAATGGTCAAGATTTTTGGCTTCAAAATGCACTGATTCAACCTCTAAGTATGGGCCCCTGTCTTTGTCATATTTAATGGTAAACTGAATATCTGTGGATGTTAAACAATCGGGTTAAGGTGATAAGATAGAGTTTATTCAGCAACGTCCTCTGTCTTGTAGAGTTGGAAAATTCAGAAAGTGGCTTTCATGAGTTTGATCACCATCTTCTCTTGTTGTTGACCAGTCAAATTAAGAAAATAACCTACTGGGCAATAAGAAATAGGGATGGACCACTTACTAAATTACAATGTTTAAAATAGGAATTTGGCTGATAGCAGATGCAAATATCAAGGTCATTCTTTTTATGTTCTTTTTTCATTTTTTGAGCCATCATAACTTCATGTTTACAACAGATGATTATTGGCCATTATATCCTTATCAGCACAGATAACAGCCAAAAAATGAAAGTTTAAAAAGGAAGGAAGGAAGTGATGGGAGAAATATTGATGTTGATGGTGCATAGTGTCTAAAAAGGGGAAAAATATCAGCATATATAGCAGTTTTTTAGATCACCAGATATCAATATTGGCCCTAAAAATTTTCAGGCTCTACATGAAATTTCCAGGTGGTGAAAGACACATTTTACCTGTTTAAAACTGCAACCAAATTAATTTTACTCTGTGTCACAATCTAGTGCCAGAATCTTTAAAAAAAATTGTTTAGGTTTTTTTTGTTTTGT